TGCATAAAAAATAATAATTAATAGCAGTGTTTATTATAGAATGCAGGTTTGTTTTCCATAAAAACTAGATTGGATTTATGGAAGCACGTCATTGTTTCCAGTGCGAGGAAACAAATGTCGTATCACTGCTGTTGTGGCTCTTTAGTACTTTCGTTTCTGTTTATGGCTTTGCTTCGGTTGTATGGTTAGTCATCAATCATTGATCTTCTCATTGTTTGAATATTGTTGCATAGGAAAAATCTTCCTTTTTTATGAATCTTTCAAAAGTTGGGTCCATGCTATTCTCAGTGATTGATTACGTTTATTGAATATTTGTGTGCTTCCTCTGCTGATATACTAATTCATGCTTTATTCGTCGTCTTTGATACACTCTGATTAACCATTGTGGACCTCTAGAGTCTAATTTGCAATATTAATGCAAGTCTCTTTAACTTACGGATTATGAAGAGCATCCTAAGATCGTTTAATTTGATTCAGGCTTTATGTGGCTAATGTTTGGTCTTGGATGTGAATTAGTCTATCATGTTTCTTGGAAGGTAGGAAGCAATCTTGATGTTTACCAAAATCCAATGTGCTCTTTTGTAGCTCAGTTTTGAAATATGTACTAATTATTGTAGAGGGAACCCGAAACAAAGAGACCATATGTATGATTTTATATGCGAAGAGAAGCTCCGAATTTGAAATCGTCTCCACTCCGGTGATATGTGGCCATGGTGTGAAGGAGTCTGGAGCCATGGTTATTTCAGATTCAGACATAACCGTAATTGTTAAACTAATAAAAATAAGATCAAACGTACCGGATTGATGAGAATTTTTGGTGTTCTTCGTCATGTTCTTCGTCGTATGGATCTAACAAAAAAAAAAAAAAATATATACCCCATAATTTTTTTTTGTTTGTTAATAGAGAGAACCCACCAATTTTGTAGCGTTGATTGTGACATCGAATTGTTTGTCGGATGAATATAAGTCTCTAATCCGGAGACTGAAGTTGAACCCTAACAAAAACATATATTCATAGCATAAAATTCATAAATAAAAGGTAGAGCATCACATAACTTTTTCTTCAAAGCCAACACATCTCTCTTTGTAGCCGAATTACTCTCCAGTTTGGTATATACTCAAATTTTCCAATGACTTCCTTCTCGAACCTGGAGCGTTTTTGCTTTGCCGGATATTTTTAGGATATGGCTCTTATGTATCTCTTGTGAGTCACTTGATATGTTGTTTAGGTAAAACTTTTGGTTTGAAAGAGAATGATCTACGAAAAGCATAATCGGTTATTTGTTATATATGTGGCCATGTTCATATTGCTTTCTCCACAAGCAATTTTCCAGTTTTGTAGCATTCGATATTTAAATTTAACAGCTTCAATACGTTGTATACATGTGTATGTATGTACATATATGAATTATTCTCAGTTGCACATAGTGGTTTCTAAGGGATAGATACTTGCTCTCTGTAACCCTCTCGATTTTTAGTACATATCTTCAGTGTTTACTTTGCTAAGAGCTTCTTGATAGGCATACATCTTTGCAATCTCAGATCAATATACTACAAATACATATACGATACAGTTAAGAAAATGATATTTCTCTTACAACTTTTTATATGGGTTTTATAAACAAGAGATCAACTGAAGGGTTACGCAGCGACCAATGGCGAAGGTAGAGACAAAGATACTACAATAGGGACGATAAATATGACACGATATATACAAAGGAGATGCCTGTTTCTATACCATTGAAATTTTACGTACATAACTACTTCAAAGAGCAAGATGACTTACTTGATAGGTAAGAGATATGGTAAGAGATTATATTTTTCAATTATTTGTTTCCAACTACGAAAAACTCCAGTGACATACAATCTAAAAGCATGAATATGTCATAAAATCAAGAATACAACAAAAACCAGGAAGATGGGCCCAAATTAAAGTCCGAAACTGGACGTGGGGAACCCACAGACAGTGGCGGTCGGAGCATTACAAATATGAAAGAAACGAGGAAGCGTGAATATGTCATAAAACCAAGAGTACTACAAAACCAAGAAGATGTGCTCAAAGAACGAAACTGGATGTGGGAACCCACAGACAGTGGCGGTCGTGGCATTACAAATATGAAAGAAACGAGTAAGCATGAATATGTCATAAAATCAAGAGTACGACAAAACAAAGAAGATGGGCCTAAAGACCGAAACTGGACGTGGGGAGCCCACGGACAGTGGCGGTCGGGGCGTTGCTAATATGAAAGAAACGAGTAAGCATGAATATGTCATAAAATCAAGAGTACGACAAAACAAAGAAGATGGGCCTAAAGACCGAGACTGGACGTGGGAACCCATGGACAGTGGCGGTCGGGACGTTGCTAATATATTGTTGGTTTAAATATATAGATTTTTTATATTTAATTCTATTATATATATCAAGATATAAACACTAATAATTGTTTGTGATTCAAAAACACTATTAATTGTTGATTACTAATAATATATATCAAAAGTTATAGCGTTTTACCATAATTCTATATTAATGTCGTTATAAAAATTAGACTCTTGACAAAATTAATTCAATAAATATCCCTAACTTGATAACCCTAAATATTAATTATTAATTCTGGTCTTAATCAACATACAATCCCGCGCTGGGCGCGGAGACCTCCCCTAGTCTAAATTATATGCAAAATTAATATCAGGCTTAAGTGTAAAAAGATAAACCGGTCTAAGGTAAATTGTACTTTGACTAGATCTTAGTAAGTCAAGTATTTGTTCCTCTCTCACGAGATTTTCGTGGTCAATTATAAGAGCTTTCGAAAATGACACAACGTCTAGAAATTTTGAACTCTTTCTTATTTGTGTTTAAAATTCCAACTTATAAATAACGTATCTTACCAAAAACAAATTAGTCTAAATCTCACCATTAGTAATTTATGTGAAGCAAAAACCATTCAAGTCTAGCATTAACAAACAAAAAAACATTTAAAGCAATGACAACAAAAACAAAATCTATGAATAATTGAATGGAAAAATAAAATAAAATAAAAATGTAAATAAGAAATTGGTAGTGAATGCGCTCTGTCTCTGTAGGGTAAAAGAAAAAAAGAAATGTGATGTGTGTGTATATAAACAGATCTAAAGCACCAAAATCTGACGGTCCATAGAAAGAAAAAAAGCTTTAATATCTGTGCCACTAGAAACCCTCTCAAGTCTCAACACTGACACTAAATTCAATGGGAGAGGTTAGTGTTTTTCAAACTTATTCAAATTTACACAGCCAAACACTATTATTGTCTATTGACCTCTCAAATTTATTTCTCCTTATTTTTGCCATTTTCAGGAAGATAAGAAAATGGAGGAGAAGAAAGCTGAAGAGCCCCAAGTGAAATCAGAAGATAAGAAACCAGCAGAAGAAGAGAAGAAGAAAGAGCCTCAAGAGATTGTGCTCAAGATTTTTATGCATTGTGAAGGTTGTGCTAAAAAAATCCATAGATGTCTTAAAGGCTTTGAAGGTACTATTTAATTATTTATCACATTCTTTTAGTTATAACCATAAGAGTGTTTAGTACTTAGAAAATTTTTAAGCTAATTTTGTGATTATTGAAAATGTTGATAGGAGTGGAAGATGTAACTACAGATTGTAAAACTAGTAAAGTTGTGGTGAAAGGAGAGAAGGCAGATCCATTGAAAGTGTTGCAAAGATTGCAGAGGAAGAGTCACCGTCAAGTGGAGCTTATCTCACCAATTCCGGAGCCTAAACCAGTTTCCGATGTACCGGAGAAAAAGGAGAAGGAGAAACCTAAACCTGAGGAGAAAAAAGAAGAGGTATTTTGTAAAATGTGTAAGATTTTGGGGGTTAGATATGTAATTTGAAGAAAGTTTATTGGCTTTGTGTAATTAACAATAAGATTTTGTGGGCACTGAGAAAAAAAACAGGTAGTGACAGTGGTGCTGAGAGTTCACATGCATTGTGAAGCATGTGCCATGGAGATTCAAAAGAGAATCATGAGAATGAAAGGTTTGTATATTTTTTTTTGTAACTTTTCTCATTTAAATTTTTGTTAAAATATTTCTGAATTGGGTACGATTTTTATTGATTCCGAATTTTAATTCTGAATTTGTGGGACTACACTTAATTGGGACATCAAGTTTTGGACTCTTCTATGAGTCATAAATTGATTCCAACTCTTTTTATTTTAGTGAAA